GGGGGGGGGGGGTGTTTCCCAAGTGGAGGCCGAGGATGGGAATCGAAAATGACTGGGAGTGAAATCAGGAAGTCAAACACACTTTTACTTGTAGTCTTTTCCTGTGTGATGCCGGCCGCCACGATCACAGCTTTTTTTTAACTTTTACATCACAGATTTCATGAAAAGTAAAAAAAAAAAAAAAAAAAAAAGCGACGTCACAAACTTCAAGGAGCGTTGGAATAGAATCTGGTAACAGTTGTGGTGCCGTTTGCTCACAGCGCCAGACCACCGTCAGTGAAATGGGATCAAACCACACACACACAAGTTGACTTTTACCCTCTTTATCAGCCAAGACAGCAACACTGGCATTGTTCTCACGTCTCACACTCTCTGTGTGTGTGTGTGTGTGTGTGTGTGTGTCAACATGGTAAAGGTGGTGGAGACAGCGACGTAACAACTACCACTGAGGAGGTCTGCTGTACTTTGAGATCAACATGAAGGTTCAGGGCTGGGCAGTAGGGGGGTACCCTGGGTCACAGCTGGTGTGATCATCACAAGATGGTCTCTAGTTTTTACTCAGACCGGCCATATTGAAAGTCCCTAAAGTTCAGCAGACACTCCGGATGTGTTGACTGTAAACTGAATGTGTTCTCCTGTAGGACGACCATTTACCACTTTAAGTTTACACACTGGAGTCATTTGTCCACAGAAGGGCTGCAACGAACACTTTATCAATTAAGCCAACACTTATTCTGTTTTACAAACCAATGAATATTTGGTGTTTTTGATAAAAAAGAGAAGCAAATGATTGCGAGAACTGTTGCAGATTCATTTTCGGTATATCGACTAATCCCCTTTCTAACACTAGGTAGGCCTATATCACTCTATGTATTGGGCCTTATCAGTCACATTGTGTTGGTTTTAAGCTGATAACTCATCTAATCATTAACTGAGGGCAGTTTTTGTTGTCAGCCATCATGTGACCAGAGGCTCTAGAACACTTATCCACACTATGTAAATCAAGTGTGCTATTCAAACAAACACAAGTATGCTGCTTTAACACATCCAATGCCAACCTCTTCACCATGCTGTTACAGCACAGTCAACCAACGGTTCACTGGAAACTCTCATTGTGGCTCCGAACAACAAACTGCAGTCATTTGAAGTGATAAAACGCGCCTCAACATGGCCAATACAATATAATGATAAGAACCATCTATTCATGGTCTGTTGTCTCCTGCATGCCTGAATGATATGTACAACAATGTTGAGATACAGGAATATGTAACTTCTGTGAGGAGCCAATAACCGAGTGCTCTGCTGCTACACACCACCAGTTACAGAGCGAGTCAGTAGTTGGTGTCCACAGTTGACAGGACTCATCTCAAAGCAGCACTTAATAGATGTGGATGACCGAGGTTAAACTGCATCAAAAGATGGATAAAGCTACAGCCATGTTTGGTTTTCATTGTGAAAGCATGACAACAATCCAGTGGTGTCTGCAGACTTCACAGAGCTAACCTCAGTCACATGGAGCGCCTGCTGCTCTACTGGGAGACCTGCAGCAGCAGCTGCTCGTAGAGCTACAGCTGAACCAGTTACTCAGCTTTGCATGCAGTCAGACTTTAAAGCACACCACTAGTCTGGGTCACGATTCTCTAAATCCACCATTCCATTCGACTTTTATTATGAGGGGAGGATTCCATTCAAACTTGTTTTTCAGCACTGAAGGCTCTGCCATTGTTAGACCAGGGAGCCCTGATTGGTTAACGTCAGATCATCGGTTTCATGCCGGACAATTCTCATTTACATTTACTTTCTCAAACCTTTGTCTTTAAAGAGACGTTACATGGTATGAAGCCTGTTTTCTAAATATACACCTATATAATCAAATATAAATAATTAATTTAATAAAACAATAACTTATTTCACCAGTCAGCTGGGAAAAAAAAGGATCCACTAGATGGCAGGAGGGAACTTCACGAGGCACACCTGAACGCACCATTCCACATGCTGATAGTTGGAGTGATGGGGACACGTGATGATTGGTGGAGATGCACCGTGGCTGAAATCAAACAGCTTGCTGAGCGCGGCTGCAGTCTCCATCTTCTGCAGCCTACAAACTCTAGTTTTTCGTTCACCGACTCAGTCGTTGTTTACAGTCAGGGCCAGAAGTATTTGGACTGTGACACAATTTCTCTAATTTTGCCTCTTTACACAACTCCAATGGATTTGAAACTAATCAGTCAATATGTGGTTGAAGTGAAGACTTTCAGCTTTAATTCAATGGATAAAACTAAAATAATCACAATAACCGTTTAGGAATTACAGCCATTTATACACAGTCATCCCCATGTTCAGAGGCTCAAAAGTAATTGGACAAACTAACATAATTGTGAATATAATCATTATTTTTAATACTTTGAGGAAAATCCTTTGCAGTCAATGATTGCCTGAAGTCTGGCACCATAGACATCACCAAACACTGAGTTTCCTCCCTTGAGATGCTTTGCCAGACCTTTCACTGCAGCCTCCTTCAGCTGCTGCTGTTTGCGGGTCTTTCTGCCCTCAGTTTTACCTTCAGTAAGTGAAAAGCTGCTTACTGGGGTTGAGATCAGGTGAGTGACTTGGCCATTGAAGAATATTCCATTCCTTTGCCTTGAGAAGCTCTCGTGTTGTGTTCATCACTAACGTTAGCTAACGTGATATCAAGCTGACTAGCTTTCCATTATAAACAGGTTGCGAAGATCACGACCTAACCTTTTCTCCTCGTCTCACTCCAATCTGAGAAATACTGGCTGGCCAGTTGACCCCCCCCCCCCAAAAAAAAATTAAAACTCTACGGACCTACACGATTCACGTGGTGACATATTTTGATTCAAAACGGCAAATTTCAGCGACAAGTTTGCAGGTATGTGAAGCCGTGTGTCAGACAATTATCCAATTACTTTTGAGCCTCTGAAAATGTGGGTGAATGTGTAAAAATGGTTGTAATTCCTAAACGGTTATTGTAATTTTCTTGTTCACATATTGACTGATTAGTTTCAAATCCATTAGAGTTGTGTAAATAAGCAAAATTTGAAAAATTGGGTCACAGTCCAAATACTTCTGGCCCTGACTGTATCCCATTTGTTTCTCTATCCTCTCAGACTCTGGCAGTGGCTCAGTGTCTCAGCTGCAAGCTTCCGGTAGTCTTTCAAGAGCTTTTTCTCTTCTTCAGACGGACACAGGGCGGGGAGGAGAAAAAACTGGGAGAATCGCAGATCCTGCTTTTAACTTTGACGGTTTAAATTAAAATCTCATTTCAATCAACATTACATTTTTAGAACTAAAACCATGACACCTCACTAGTGCATGTGGTGCGTTTACTGGGCGTTGACTCAAAAAGTATGTGGCTGGATGTCAGGGATCAGGTCACATTTCAGCCTTCATTCATAAAAAAGTAAAGACATTTCTCAGTTCCCATTTCTGACGAACTTGCAGGCTGGTGTGCAGAGCTTAACCGACAGCCTGTTGAAATCACACATGCCTTACGAGCTCCAGTCGGAATACTAATTCAGCACAAACAAGAGGTTCAACAGTGTCAGTGATTTCGGCCTTCACACAGAGTGATTGTTTCCAGCATATCATACATGCACTGAAAACAGGAAATGTGAGAGTGGACATCAACAGAACTCAGTGTGCCACGCTCTGTAGTCACCTGCTCAGGCAGACGTACAGGCGGCTGCATCCGAGCCTGCTCCACCTGTAAGCCTCACCTCGACCATACGGACAGGATGTTCTGACTGAAGGCTGCTTCTGAATGGACTCACAAGAGAAGACCAGGGTCTACATCTTAAAGAGAGGACAATGAGGGCAGTTGGTGACAATAGGACTACAGTGTGGGCCTCTGTCCCAGGGACACAAGCCCTTATTCATAGCTTCACACAAGCCTTCTTGGGTCTGCACGCTAACAAAAGCTCAAATAGTTTTCAGAAGAAACTTTAAGACTAACTTTACGACTAATGTGAAAACCCACTGCCAGGCGAAGGAAAAAAACATTATAGATTTAAAGTTAGTCACAGAGGCATTCACTCACACACACACACACAAACTAAAAGAATCACAGCCTAGTTTTCATCTCTTCTACCCGGGTCATCCAACCCCTACAGGGGAGAGAGTCACTCAGCAGGTGAGATGTGTTGAGACCCTGGTGATGGACGTATGCTCCAGCAACAAGAACATCAAGGTGCATCGTCCGCAGCAAGCTGCTCCTTCCAGTAAGAAACACCCACATCACAACACCCTTAAAGAGGTTTGTATAGACTTCTATTTCAGGTCACATCCCCCCCACACAACACATGATGGATGTCAGCAGCAGGAAGAGGCGCTCACTTTAGAAAGTGGGCCCGTCTCCACTCTCCAGGGCCAGACGGACTCAGCTGGTCTTTAATGTGTGGACCTGTATGTGCTTGTGATGCTTTAACTACCAGAGACACAAACTGCCTCCAAAAGTCTGTTTATAGGTGAATCAGACATGCCTTTGGAAACAACAGCAAACGTTCAACACTTTACTAGAAGGTGGGCATCTTAAACCTGAGGAGGGCACCATTCCCCTTCACCCGCCAAACGACACATTCGTGCATTAGGAGACATCGCTGGTCTTAACGACGGTACCGTGAGGCATCCGGGCCAAACAGAGGAGTGTTACCGGAGACAACATGGAGCAGGAGAGGCGGACTGAGCGCGGACTCATACGGGCTACGTGCAGGATCCGGATCCCGCGATTCTCATTACGCACAGCCGCCTCCCATCGTTACCGCTCACCGTCCATTTGCACGGGGGAAACCACGGCGAGTCTTCGGCTGCGACAGCCCGAGAGTAACGGTGAAGTAGGCGCGAGGCCGCTCAGCTAGCCCTCGCCCCAAATTCAAAGTGCCTCCTGCAGTCAACCTTCCTCATTGAAGTGCTTCAACTAAATGAGAAGCAGGGACCATTACGACTTTAGTTCCACAGAAGAGGCCCCGTGCTGAGCGGGAGGTCGCGGTGGAGACTGGCTGACATGGATGTGGTGAGGGGGAAATGCCACAAAGTGGAACTTGGTTCCGGTATCTGCGTATGTCTCCGACTAACAGTACGGTAGTGTCCAGCCACCCCTCCCTCGTCTTGCTGCATCTCTTCCTACGCGATGTCACACGTTGAGCAGCAGCCAGACACACCACAGTTAGCGCTTTGCAAACCAGTATTGAGCGCCCCGCTTGACTACGCGGAACATACGGCTCGTGGACGTAATGTGAAGGGTATACGTACCCAAAAAATGTCGATGTTTCCCCGGTTCCTGAACTTGGCAGTCTGTTGCGTGGCGGAGCAGCAGCGTGTAACGTTCCAGCCGTAACCGACAAGAGTGGAGACGCAGCAGGAAGCCCGCAGCCTGGGCGGATAAATGTACCGCCGTGACGACAGCGGTGTCCACCACAGAGAGTGAGGAGAGGAGGTCTCACTCCTCCGTGTTTCGCTTGCAAAACATCCTATCTCAACCAGACTGCTTAGCCCGAGCACACGTTCCTCTTCCTAAACTAACTGTTCTCTACTCGTGCGCTGACCTCCTCATCCGTCTGTGAAATGTGTACACAGCCAAGAGGAACCGGAATACTCCAAACCAACCTCAACTAATGTCTTAGAACCACATTTCAACACAGGGCCTCTCTAAAAGCCCAAACTGACCAAATAATGCTGGACCACAATACCTGAATGGTACAAATTTCTCCTCCAAATTTGATATTGAATTACCAAAACCAATTGACATGCACTGTACCTGGGACATCTGAGGGACCAAAGGGCCTGGGGCCCCGGTGCTTCTTGCACTCTATGAACGGTTGGTAATCCAGGGTTAAGGACAAGAGCGATAGAATACATGATATACAGTATGAGTTTTCACATAAGTCCCCTAACTAAATCTGGTTGAGTTCACATTGGGTTTTCGATTAATTTTGGATGACTGTGTAAAAATGTAGTTCTTGTAAGGAAACACTTAGAAGAACTCTGGCTGCTATCTTCACCATTAAAGGAGGGTGAGACTCAGTACTATAGTACTAACTAAACTGACAGAAATATATCTATGCTATCGTAGCAGTCTGCACTACGATCAGGTGCCTGTCACCTTCATCCTGAATATTTCCGGCATGTCTCCATTCATTTCTGTGCATGTGTGTGTTATTTCTCAGCTTACACTAACTGACACACAAGAGACTAATGTTTGCACTCTAGTGGCCAGTGCTGTGTTTTGCTGTAGCTCTCATGCATCTCAACAATAAGACGAAGTCACAACCTATGGCTGGATGGTCATGCTGCTACACATTCACATTTAGTCTGTGGTAGTGTTTGTAATGTGAATTTCTGGATATTACCCCTTTGAGTCAAATAATTGAGGACTGTGCATCACACTATAAAAGCCTCCTGAGGAAGTAACAGAGCACTTGCACAGTGTTTGTACTGAACAAGAGGTTTGTTTGTGTCCCTCTCTCAGGTCTCCTGTCCTCTTCCACCCCCATGCTCCATGTCCCCTCTGTCTATCAAGATAAACACTGTGGGTTGAGGTGTGTTAATGTCACCAAACTGTATTTTGTGGGAACAAATAAGTGTCACAAGATTGCAAAGATCAGAAAAGGAGAAAGCTTCACACTTAAACTTGACCAATTATACTTATCAATACGAGATATCAGTTCAGTAAGTTCAGGTTAATAAACAGCAACACTTGTCACACCTATTCATTATGAAAGTGCAACGACCAACACTCGACTGACCAACGGTGTCACTTCTTCACTCAGGGACAGACGTTCACTGTAATAGGGCTTCTCTTTGCTGCGGTCCATCCTCAATAGAAATGAAGCCCATCTGTGTCCATATCAAAGGAGACTGGCCCATAGACGCAGACGTTTCTCTTTCTTTATATCAAGCAGCAGCTAGCTACTTGTATCAGCCAACACAACAGTTAGCCTACAGTCCTTCAGGGCTGCTACAAGCTAACGGCAGACTGCGGAGGACCAGAGGAGGAGGACTCTGTGTTCACATCATGATGCTTGGTGCTCAAACACAGTCACAGTTGATGGACAATGTTTTCCTCGTGTTGAGTTTTGAATGTGAAGATGAGAATTGTTGCTGTTTACGTTCCTTATGATGCTACTTCAAAAACTGCACTACAGGAATGTAAAACTGGTTTTGTTTTCTGTTGTTTGTCGTGTTTCCCTGTGTTGCATAATAAATGATCCTTGAATCCTTGAATTAGCCAACTAGTGACATGACACAGTGGGTTGGTTTTTCTTCTGGCCTCCCCTGTTGTTCGGAGTCACTGGTCCACATTGAATCTGTGAATACCACAACAGTGCTTTTCTTGGTTCTCAGTCAAAAGTAAGAACAAGTCTTTTATTTGCTGCATGATAATACACATTGGTCATAAGCAGGGTCTCAAATGAAGTCCTTTCCTCACCTGCCGCTGTGGCACATCACTGAACATGTCTACCAGCCGGCCACTTCTGAAATCTATGTACAGCACTTTAGAAGTGTAAATACTGAGTCAGTGGCACTATACTGTAGAAATATGGACTATATCATTAACCTTAATCCACAACTATTTAACCAAGGAATTGCTTTTTAAAAATAATATTTCTTGAAATAAGGAAACCCTATCTGCCATGCTGGCAGGTGACCTGAAGTCTCTGGCAGCAGCCAACATTCACCCTGTATTTGGCATGTGCTGATTTCATTCATTCATAAGGCATAAATAATGCAGCGCAAGTCCTGCCCTGAAGCAACATCCTATTCCTTTCTAAACTGTTGCAATCAGCAGGTGGGCCATTCTGCAGGGAATGTTCAGTAAGGAGGTTAGTTTAGCTCCTAGCCGGTTATCCATCTCCATCTCCAGTACTACTCTCCACAAACAGATCCTCGTCTGAGTGAGAGAAAGAAGGAGCAATTTAGAGAAACAAAACATTTGCAGAAATAATTTGGCTGACTGTTCTATTCCCCCATATAAACCTAAGATCTGAACTTCTGCACATGCTCATTCCTAGGGGATTATCAGTGTAAATGTATACTATGTTTGCTCTCACCCATGAGGTTGGCACTGGAGGTCGTCGGCACAGGAGCAGTGGTCACGGGGACCCTCCTGGTCCCAGGCCAGCATGTCCATCAGCAGGTTGGGGTGGCTCAGACAGGACTCCCCCTTCTCTGGTTTGGGATTACACACTGGAAACAACAGCTCTGTAGGAAGCAGCAGAGAGAGAGAATAATGGTCACAGTGGCCACTTTATCACTGCTATTGCTGTTTCAAACAAATCCAAAATATTAAGCCCATGTCAGATACCCAGGCCCTGTTTCACAGACATTAAGACCAGTCTAATACAAAAGCATTGTTCCATGGATGTTTCTATTCCATGTTTGAAGAGTTTAGACTGATTACATCAAAATGTATTTATATAAAACACCACATATAATTACTTCAGTCAAATCAGACACGGTCTACGTCGGTATGCTATTTGGTCTGAGTGTGATATGAGAGTGTGCATATGTTCTTAATGCTGCAGGTCAATCCCTCAGCTCTGTAACAGAAAGCTGCAGAAATGAGTCATAACACCCAGAACACGGTCATCTTTACACTTCCTGTTCCACCGTCTGAGAGTCAATGTGTTTTTGGGGAGATGTCTGAAATGAGGTCGGTAACACAAGCTGCAGATATTTGAACATTTGCTTCTACGATATAAAATACGTCAGTAAATACTCCTCTGGTGATTTGAGGAGCTTTTACATGTCGGTTGCTAACAAGTGTCAAAAAGAGACGACTAAACGTCATCACAGCGACTATCCGCCTTCACAGCCTCGTGGTGTGTACTCCCGCTCACGTCACCGTGGTGTAGTTCCTTTAGCCTAACGTTAGCTTTTTACTTCTGAAGATTGCATTTACATTTTAAAAATCATAAAGTGGTGTTCATTGTGAAGATTATTTTGCTGAACAAAACATGTAAGTATCAAAAACATTTGCTTGCCACACGACGGGAGAATCCCTTTTATTGGATGGAGCCAGTGTGATGCTAACTTCCTGTGGATAACTTCTGTTATGATTTGGCGCTATAGATAAAATTGAATTGAATTTATGGCCAGTATTTATTCCTCAGCATTTCCATTTGATACTGGATGGCCTTTACACTGTTTAGTTGACCATGTGCTGCACATGGAGGGAGTGTGACTTCAGTTCAATTGAAGCTATAGAGATAAGACTTTGACTTTGCTGGTTCATCTTCTCACCTTCAAACACCTCCATTGTATTGGGGTGGAACTGAAATCTTAGAGACACTGGGACAAATAAAAGCTTCTAAATGGCTAGATGTCTCTAGTGTCAGTGAGAATACCTTTTCAAAATTGATGTAGGTCAGTTGACCTAAATCCAGTAGTAGTAGCAAGAAAATGTACTATTTTCAAGCAATGTAAAAAAAAGGATCATAGAAGCAACAGCAGATACAACTGTGCTGCTAAATAATATAATGTAGTACAATATAGTGTAGATAAGAACACGACATTATGAGAAAAGGGACAGCTCGACAGACTTGAGTTCAAATAAAAGCCTACAGTGTTTGAGCACAAATTAAAGATGTGAAAGAGTCTCTGTTAAGTTAATGTTAGAGGTCACCTCGTTGAAAGGCACAGCAGAGGTCTGCCTTGCAGTCACTCTGACCCTGACAGATAGATCCCTCCGTTCCTTTGGTGGCGTTGACCGTACACTGACCCCACACACACATCTGGTCTGAGCAACACTCCTCGTCCTTAGTGCAGGGCTAAGTGGGGACACACAAACAAGTATGTAAAGCACACATGATCTGTTGCTGCATACATGCTTCTGTTTGTGTACCAGCATCCATTATTTCATAGTATTTCCAGTAAAAGGTATGTGTAGCTGTTTAACAGTGAGATATTTGTGAGATTTGATTGAGTGCTGCTGCTTTACTGTACATGATTAACACTTCAGCTATCACTGTTTTTATTATTATCACAGCAAGACGGGCCAGGGTTCAATTCCCAGACATATCTCCCCATGGCAGCGTGGATTCTGTCCAGCTTCTCTGGCTTGCCCCCAACAGTCCAAAGACATGCAGCTTAGGTTAATTAACTGATGACTCTAAATGGCCCATGATGGATGGATGGCAGCCTTGACTCTCTGCAGATCAAAAGTGAAACTGCTTCATGGCCCAGAAGAGGGCGCTCTTTCTGCTGTGAAGATTCTGTCAGTCATGATCTCATTTGATTATGGCCATTATCACATTCTATGACATTTATTTTCACAGTGATGTGCTGATATTTTCACAATCCCGATGTTGCACCTTTATAGCTGCATCGACTATTTTTTTTGTCACTTTGGGGGAGCGGCTGAATCACGCGGATTAACAGTTTCATTTATTTGAAGTCTTGTTTCTATTGACCTTTTGAATGTCAGTCCAACGTTCACTTGTTTAAACTCTCCTTTGGTCGCCACCAATTGCCGGCTAAAGCATTCATCTCTTTGGTCACTACGAGTAACCACTTTCACATTAAACAGACATTTCATCCATTGTTGAAATAACAAATGGATCGATGAACTTTTAACTAGACAAACAACCACAAAAGCAACACTGACTGAATGCCCACCATGTCCGTTGGTATGCAGGGGAGGCACTTGGAGTTCTCGATCTCATACAGGCAGTACTTCAGGTGACCACAGTCCTCATCCACCATGCACTCCTGGGTTAGAGACAACAACAGTTACATATACAGTCAGTTCTGTTAAATGTTGTCGAATCATCAGCTTCCTCTGTCTTGTGGTTGTAGAGACAAAAATGACTATTTCAACTTTTTGATTTGAATTATGTTCCGTCTATTATAGTGTAGGGCAATAACTGCATTAATAACATATGTTCATATGATGACTGTCACATGAAGCTCTCAACCAAATATAATTATGGTTTACATGTTCTTGTATCACAGTAAGAGTTGTCTGCTGCACCCCCATCTAATGAGTCCCGTAGTTGACGGTCTCTGAAGTTGTGCTTCTGCCAGCCACAGTCCATCTCCATGGAAAGTGTCTGATGGACATCAGTGATATCTGAGTTCCACAGAATGGCTCAAGAGTTCCCCACCTCTCTATCCTCTACACTTGATTTATTTGATGTTTCAACATTTCTTGGTCAAAAGTGAACAGTAACTTAGGACCAAAGTGAACTGAGCTGAACCACACATTTAGAGCTCTGAAACGCGTTCTACCATCAAACTCCACTGCTTATTGTTATTTATATCACTTCATGGTTTCAGGGCAGACTTTTCCAGTAGTATACTTCTGACTAGTTTTCTTGGAATGCTAACAGGGTATTTGAGGTTTAGTTCAACTCTTTTCCAGTGGTCAGAGGAACAGTGTCTGCCAAACAGCCTCTACTGTGATCTCACCACCTTTCTTCAGTCTGTATCTTTACACGGGCTGCCTTTGAGAAATCAGTGTAGAACCTAGAAGCCTAGTCCCTGAAACCATGCATTACTGCAGCAGCTCTCAGATCCAACAGCTCGGAGCATAATAGGTAAGAGCTGATTCACCAAGGGTTTCAGTCACGTCAGTCAGTGTCGTTCACGACTGCACATGCGCCCGGGGATGAAAGCTCTTAGAGGGCAAAGCCTTTATGATATAGAACCAGAGAACCCCAGAGATAGGCTGGGAAAGAAGACATGTGCCATCTTGGCTCAAACTTCACTTCCAGGTTCCAGTGAGCTCTGGCTCTTAGTATTTTGATACAGCCAGTTGATAACGACAGACAGCAATGAGTCTGATACCATCCTAATCCCCTCATTCAGATTGATCTAATAACACCTGTTTCAAACGTACAGTTATAGTTAAGAGTATTAGGATGTATTCACTTGCATCAATATCCATGGGATCTTGCTTATAATCCATTAGAATTACATTGCTGTTCAAATTTAGATTTTAAACTATGCATGGATTGAAATATAATTTGTTCCTTTGTTGCAGGTCCATCTACTCTGGGATTGTAATAGAAATAGTTCTCCTTACAGTGGATTCATATTTGCTTCTTACCTTTCAGAGGAGGCCTGATGGTTGAGGAGCTATTCTTCATACATTATGGGTATGTATGTTCTAAGTGATAGGGCTCAACAGGTATCCTCATAATTACTAGAAAGCCATCACAACATTGCAAGATCTGCAATGTGTAACTGGATCTGTTCTCATAGTCATCGGATACAAATCTAAATCTAAGGGATACTTCATCAGGATTAATGTTAAAAATACAGAAAGCATGATTAAGTTATGAAAAAGGGTCTTTGTTTTTGTTTTGTTTTTTGAATGCAATTATGCTTTTCTTAGTGTCATCATTCCGCTTTACTGTATTATATGGTGATGACAGATCATCTCATAAGTGGAGGAAAATGATCCAATAAGAAACAAAGATGACAGTGTTTGATAATCGATTTGATAAAAGAGATGCAAATCTTGTTCTTTTAATGCTTTAAGATGCTGTCATAATTATGAGACAACTCATAATTAACTGTAACTGGATTACTTTGAAACAACAGGTAAACGTAGTTGCCACGGATGTCTATAACATTTTTACTTTGACTTACTAGAAACCGACTGGATATTTTTTATGAAGTGCTGAGTCCACCAACTTTACTGCGACTTCCTTGAGTGTAATTTGAGTTTGACTCCATGTAGAGGGTGGAATTACACAGTTAGTCATTTTAGAAGAGCAGACCTTGTCCTGCCTGGCAGACTGGCTTTCCTGGCATTTCTTCCAGCAGCGAGGTCTATTAACATAACCACTCGCTGTGCAGCTGCCAGGAAAGTAAAAGATCAAAACCGCCGTTATGAAGGAAAATGGCAACACAGGCAGCAAGCAGCAATAATGACCTCAATCCAAGCTTGTGAGACGTATATGTTATGTCTGTGTGCTGGATGATCTCATTCTTGATAACACAAGTTGAGTTTTAGAGAGCACTCCACCTTTCGGTCTCTTCTTACAAACATTATGAATATTTACAAACCTGTTACCGTAGAAACAATACATTTAATTGAATTAAACCTCTGAGTATGTCGACATCTTTCAGTACACATATGCTCAAAGAGCCCATCCTATGAGCATTATATCTTGATCAGCTGTTCTGTTTAGTTGTAATAATGTCAGCTGGAAACATACAGGCCACAATGCATTAGTTCTCTAATTACTCACACAGACCAGACAGAGGAAGCAGAAGACTCACGTGATCCGCACTGTTCCAATGGCCAGAAATCTCCATATGGATGTGTGAAAGATGAATATCTCCTGTTTTATTATAAGTCTCCTATAAATGGCAAAAGGAGTGACATGTTGTATCAGAAAAGGGAAAACTACCCTCATCCCTACAATCACTTGAATAACAACCAGTCTTATGTTCATCGTATGTGTATCACAACCCTACAGCCCATTCATAAACCCATTCATAAACCCATTCAAAACTGTAAAGGGAGAAACATTGTAAATGCTTCTTTTATCCATTCATGAAATCATGACCTGTGAGAGATGAAAGGGTTTTGTCTGAGACATATTTGACCATGTTGTCAAAAGTGAACTTCTACCTTGTCAGCTCCATCAAGGACCTGGACCACTCTGTCTCCCTCCGTCATCATCTTCTTCGTCTCATTGTGGTAGTTAGTGCGCAGATCCAGTGACGTGAGAGATGATTTAGCACTCTCAGTAGTTATCTGTTGGGTTGAATGTTTGGGTACACATGGAATCCATTAATTCATCTTACAAAATAAAGCACACAGCATTTACATTATGTCCATATCAGATTTCCATATGGGGAGAAAGAGTATGAATCCTCAGGGTGGCTAGTTTGCTGATACACAGCAGGATGCTGATCTCCATGTATTGGATGACATGAAAGGAAACTTCCTCGTAGGTCACAAATTATCAAAACAAGACGGTGACCATACTGAAACATGAGCCGACTTATTAGACCTGCAGACCTCCAACTCTAAGGGGACAATAACAGACCTCAAGGCTGCCTTCCAGGAGTCTCAGCTGGCCAAAAGGAGATCGGTTGTGTAAAGTTCTCAGTCACTCAAGTATAAGGGGTTAAGTTTATCCATCTCTTCTATTATTGAATTGAATGGACAAAATCCATTTTGAGTAACTATTATGAGGAGGACTATTGGTATTCAGACATGGCGTGTTGGCCAGACATAACTGAGATGGAAACTATGTGTGGTGTCGCAACACGCAGCCTATTTCAGCCTGGTAGTCAAAATGAAGCTGACTACCAAAACACTTCAATGTGACTGCTGTGATTATGCCATCTGATGAATTTCACTACTTGTGGTAATTATTTGTCAAATAACAGACAACTCTTCCCTTGTTTGAAAAAATAAAATATGACACAGACCTGGTCCACAGCCTCCTCCAGTATGTGCTGGGTGTCCTCCATCAACTCCTCCACTTCCCGGAACATGTCGTTTAGACTGACCGGGCCCCGCTCCAGGGCGTCCCGCAGGTCTACTGCCTCGCCCCGCGTCGCACCGTCCGTCGCCCACAAGCACAAACTCAAAGATACCAACAGCAGCATGATAGCGGACATCTTTCCTTCTCTCTCCGTCCGCCAGTCCACCAAGCAGCAGATCCGTGTGACGCACGGAGGGCGCACAGCCGCACACAGCTGGATCTGTTTTATTTGGAAAGTCTGAGGAGTGGTGGCGGGGTTATAAACTGGAACGGATCAGGTTTAATGGCGTGGAAAAGGTTCACATTTCGTGAAGTAGGCTACATGTCAACATCAAAGGGCTGGTTATGGTGAGCTAGACATGTTTAAAGCTGTTAGCAGTTACCAGATGTGATCTGCAAAGGGAAGTTCACCCCGCAAACAATCAACCTTCATACACAGGAAGAACCTCATTGCACTATGTGAAACTCTGACCAAACCTCGGTAGCTTTTGCACAGTTTTGACAAACTAATGTAGTTTCATAGGCTTACTTACCTTTAATATATAACTCAACTAACATATCAATTATTGACTGCATGAACAGTCAGAGCAGCGTTTCTGAATAGATATGGTTATAAACTACAACAACACATTTGTCTTTTGTCAACCAGATCACAATTACAATCAATAAATATAAATAGATTTTTATAGGATGGAATTTCTTTCATGTTTCATTATGTACACTGTAGGTCTATAATACATCAAAAATCATATGGACAACATGTGTTTATTGTTGTTTATTTCATCTTCACAATGACTTCTATCTGTAGGTGCAGAGCCACCTCTAGCATGTTTCTGGAAGAGCTGCGACACGTCTAGTGAAATCACTATTCGTATAAAGTGGCCGTGATCCACGACCTCTTTAAAGCGTATTAGGTGGTCGCAGTGGCGGGCCGTGCATCTTCTACCTGGGCCTTCTGTGCAGTCTTACTACAGTTGAACCACCACAGCTACGGTTATTGTTTGTTTCGTGTAAACACCTCATATTCACATAACACTGCAACATTTGACAAGTGAAATAAAATGTTACATGAAGCTCAACACCTACAAATACACTAACTGCAGAGTGCAGATACATGAATACATGACGGGATGCTTCGTCATTAACGGACAATGCATATAGTAAAATCAATGTAATGAACACAATGACAAGAACAAACTCACAAGAACCAGTCACATTTATTCACAACAAAGCATGAGAAAACAATCCATCAACACTGCAGCACTAAAACACCGCACACTCAAGAGCACGGGCCATTCTAATATTATTCACATCGGAGGGAACCATATTAACTATATAATAAAAACAACACGATAGATATGAACACAACGCTACTGCAGATGTAAAAACACAAAGCAGTTCACTTACCAAATGCTGTTTATTATTTACAGACAAAGTCCATCCTCCTGTCTTTCTTTACAAACAGTTCAATGACGCGGTTGTGCAGAACATCCGTGCGTCTCAGTTCCAGCCAGAGGTCTCCCCAGTTGTGTTTCTGGAATATGTTTTGATGCGTTTGAGGGCTAAAAATGTCCGCTCGACAGAGGCAGTCGACATTGAGATCATCACCGCCAAGGCCGAGATCCTCCTTGTGGCACCGCAGTGGCTAGTCTGTGGCAAGCGTCAGTCAGGTGTCACAACAGCGGCAAGCGAGCGGCACTCGTTCGGCAGAAGCTGCCGAGCTGAGCGGGCGGAGCCACATTTTCCTTTTACTTGCTGGGTCAAGGCTGCTAGCTGTGGGGTTAGCCAACCCTTTGATACGATTTCACGTTTTTCCTCAAATGTCCTCCTCGAGAAAGGTTTCGTCAGAAACTGCGCCACCAAATCCGTTTCTCCTCCTTCAGCCATTGAAGTTAAAAAAAACACAGCTAGATAAAAAAAAAAGAATCTACACCAAGCAAAACGCTAAAAATGTCATAACTTCTCTTACATATGTTTCAACCTGAACTCTTACTAAACACTAAGACCTGCTAGCTAGCTTCCTGTTTGACAAAAGTCACGCTGGCCCACTGACCAATCACGGCACACGTTAATGCAGACGTACTTAGCAGGCTACCTGGGTACCACTGGCACGTCAAAGAATACGCCCAACATGTCAAACTAAAGATCTGATTGGTTGAACACTATGACAATCAACAACATCGTCCCCATTCACTTAAACTGCAAAGTCTACCTAGAGGACATCGAGCCTCTCTTCTATAGACATAGAGGTGAAATCTGATTGGATAAGAGCTCTCCTTAAAACAAGCTGCACTGGAAGCAGAGCAACAGAGGAAGACAGTAGCTGTGCAATGAGAACATAAGATAATGGGAAAATAATTATAATACATGTAGTGTATTTGTGAAAAATTATTAAATGATAAAATAGCTATAACTTTGTGATTAGGCCAGCAGAGAAGGCCTTGCTGGCCCTGACGGCCCACCACTGTAGCACACTATAGTCTATGGAAAGGAAGAACTGCACAGTTTGAACTTGTTTGCTGTGCAGATTTTCCCCCAGGAAGTATACTCTATTTAAGACACTACAGTAGTCTTTTACTGTTTTATTCAATCAAAGTTGGAGATAGACGACACTGAGTGAGCTAGACTTGTGACTATATGTCCATAATTTGGGTTGACAATAAGTAAGACCACCTGGTTGAAGACTTATTGTAAAGTGCAGAGGGTAAATACGTCTGTATTTTTAGTAGTGTACCAATTCAATGTAGTTTTTAAAAGTTGTGATGCTAATTATTGTTAGTTGTTAGTGTTAGTTTTATTGTTTGGTGTTATTAAGTGAAACCAAAAGCTACAACTACCTCTGAATAATAAAGTATATGGGCTGTTGCTTGATTAATTCAATTTAATTCAATTCAGTTTATTCTGTATAGCCCAGAATCATTTGCCTAAGAGGGCTTTACAAGCTGTACACATGCAACAGCCTCTCTCCCGGGACCCTCACATGTCTCCTTGATCACTTAACTAGTATTCTCCTTCAATAAGAAATTGAAGGAGATTAAATCTTATACTTTTACTTTAGTAACTGTACCATGCAGGTTATAATCCCTTTCTTCAACTGGTTATCAAAATCTTGATGTATCACCAAATTAAAGAAGAACAGAACTTAAACACAATTAGTATAGTATAAATGTTTTAGAACATTTTACACCTCTTTATACTGTATCAGGACAAGGCACTGGTAAGCTAAGCGCTGACATGAACAGTTCCAGATTCTCCTCACCACCCACACGAAGGTGGCAGAACGAGCTTCATGGAAACACGCAAGTTACACGAGTGAAAAGCAAATTCACCACCATTGGACGACGATGGAATAACCACAATGTGTTGTCTACTGTTTTTTAGCATGTAAATTGTAACATCTATTCTGCTTACACATCATGATGACATCCATGTGTAAAGAATGATCCGTTTCCCTCCACAGCTTGTACTTATCTCAGTAATGCTACACAAAAACAGTTAAAAATGCTTTTCAAATGTACTAGCCTCATCAAATGTAATGCAGATGTTTCAAATGTACACTAGTGTATTTGATATACTTATGAGTGATCTATTTGATAATGATCAAAGGGGGAATTGTGATAGAATATTAATGCTTATTTTGTTCTGCACAACTATTGTGAAGTCCGCACACATAAACTATAAAGGAACAAAACATGAATTGCTCTCCAGTATGGCGTTATCAGCCCTACAGAGCAGCCGTCTGAAGTCATGGTTAGCAGTAAATGCTATTCACGAGCCTATCACGTGACGCTCACGAACAACATTGATTACCGATCGACTACCAGGTTAATTTAACATGGACAACTGATTACAGGCGTAGCTGACCTTGTTGTCTTTATGAGCAGCTGTTGTTCAGTTAAAGTCTGCATTATTACGGAGGAAGCAGCTGTTATTGGAGCGATCAGTGAGCAGCGTGACCAGTGGTGTTATCAGCCCTACGGAGCGGCCATCTGAAGTCGCGGTTAGCAGTAAATGCTATTCAGTAGGACAGATAGTTAAGCCACCAGCAGAGCTACGAGTGAGAACAACAACAACACCGATAATCTAGCAAACTGTTACATGTAAGTATTGATTTTAAAGTAAATTTGATATGTGAGAGAGAGAGAGAGAGAGATAGAGCAAGACCTGCAGCGCTGTAACTAAGTCTGAAAAATAAAACTTTCCATGAACTGTGTCTGTTTGAGTTCATAGAGGAAGATTTTAGAGAAGATCTTAAGTATCAAACACGACCTTTCATTATTAAAGACTACTCTATTACTCTGTCATATTATTTTAACTAAGCATCCAATCTACTTCCTGTTTACATCGACACCCACGCGCATGCCCAGTGTACGTGAAGAGTCACGTGATATTCGTTTTCAGGCATGTTAGTCTGACGGAGATCAATTCGAAAACGATGCTGAAATGCCGTGTGGATGGAGATCGTTTTTGTTTGAAAACGGAGTAGTATGGATGTAGCCTTACTCACTAACAAAACTATATGTGTGACATATGATTGTGTACGTAAGGACCATATGGGGTATCTCTGTCTTTGCTTTGATAAGAGGGAGTGACTCAATGGGGGTTGCAGTTGAACCAGAGAATGTTAAGGTGTGAAGATTCTCAGAGATAGGCAAGAGTAATAAAGATGTCTTTGTGTGACAAGGCTCAGAAGATGAAGGGAGTGACAGGAGGGGTCAATGGGGAGCTTGAAACTGCTGATCAGTTGTAATGTAAATACCTGATGTTCCCCCTACTGTGTGCTGAGATGCTTAAGAGCAGGAGACAAACTGAACTCTTGGTTCATCCTCTGCGGACTGTGTTGCAGTCAGTATGAAGGTGAAGCCTTCTCTGGCCAAAGAATAAATACTTGAAAGACAAACTTCTTTCCTCAATGTTTCTTGTTTCAGTATTCAGTATTATAGGAATCACTCGGTACCATTGAATAGTTTTTTTCCACCACACCAATCAATGCTGGCCAGAAGTGGCAAAGACGCAATGGTAACGGGAAGGTCCACAGCCAGAGTGGGGACCGAGCTGGGTGGAGTCAGTAGTGCAGGAGCATCACTGTGGTGGACCAGAGTCTTATCCAACAGGATCATGTAGCAGTTGAGGAGAATTCAGGGA